CTCTGAGTCTTCCATTTTCAGCCTTTAACAATTCAACCTGTGCTTGTAATTCTTGAATAGCTTGATCTGTCAATAATTTTTCCAACTCCCACTTTTCAATATTAGTATTTTCGTTTTCTTTAAGTTGTTGAATGTATTGGACTGATCGATTGAGAATACTACCTTTATTTTTTTCACAACCAGGCACAATCTTTGCCAATTCACTAATACCAGCATTGATTGTATCACGTCGACGACGTTCAACCTCTTTATGGTTTTCACGACGTTGTCGATTCCATTCATCACTACCTACGGGAGGTCTACTACCACTCGGCGTTGTTTGAGGTGTTGATGAAGCAGAAATTGAATCATCATCTCGTAATGGAGTGTGAAGCAGTGATGGTGATAATTGTTGAGCCTGTTGAATTTTTTGAACGATATGTTGGGGGGTATGTGGGTCTTATTGAATTGGTAAATGTGATTGTTGAATTGCTACAAATTCATTTTTTATTAAAGGAGTACTAGGTGCTGAGGAAGGGTCAACATTGGTGGGAATTTGACTACTACTATTAATTAATTCCATAAATTATATAATACGTATAGATATAATATAATGTATATAGTCGTATGTTAATGTTACCAAAAATAAAATATTAATAATCAATTAATTTTATAATCGCTTTAAAAAAATCTTTATACTTTTGTTGATTCATAATTGATTTAGCTTGTGTTGCAATGGAAGGACTAGGTTGAAGTTCTTCGTTTGTAGAAGCAATTCTTGGTGATTTTGAAGAATTTTCAGTGAAAACACCACCCTAGATAATATTAATAATAAAATGAGATTATCTATTATTTTATAGTTGGAAAATTTAAATATTAAATATAGAAAGAAAAATGACTCCATACCATTTTCAAAAGTACAGTTTCTTTAGTTGTTTGTAAACGGAAAAAAAAAGTATATAACGCACTACTACGTCTTACAATCCAAGTCAGGTGAACAATAATAGAGTCACGGTTTTTCTATATTATTTCTCACAAGAAAGAAAAAAAAATTTTTTTTTTTTGAAAAAGGGTAATAGTAAAAAATGACTGGATGATATTGATATAAGGTGACATATTTACCATAATTGATTAAGTTTGTACATCAATATTTTTAATTTACTGCATGGTTACAATGAACTCAAAAAGACGATGATGATGCCATAAGTCACAAAAGTCAGCAATAAAATTGGAAGCCAAGCGTCATTTGAGCTACTTTAATATTTTTCCTATTAATCTATTTGGCGCTTGCAACTGTTTTACAATTGCCAAGTATTCTCTTTGACCAGGTTTTGGTTCTACTCTTCTCAAATTCCTTATTTGCATGCATACGAAGATAAAGCACAAATCGAAGCGTAAAATATTCTTTGTCCATCGACGACTATACTTTGGTGGAATTCTCTATTTGTACAACAATGTAAGCAGTTGGTGTTATTATTTGGCACATATATATGTTTGTTTGTACTCTTAGATTTATAAAAGATTAATTAAATAATAAATACAATTTTTTGAAGAGAAAGAGTAAGTAATTTCCTTGATAATCATTTCCGAAAATAAAATAAAATGAATACATAGTAAGAACTTTTATTACGCTAATTTTCTATTTATTCATTTTATGCTTTCACGTTTTATCAGTTTATATTACAAAAGTTTTTGTTTTGATAAGATTACAGAATTAGAAGTGGCCAAATAGTTATAGTGTATGATGGAGATGTCAACGATGATGTTAGTTTGTCTTTTATTGTTATTGATTTACTATTGTCACTTTTCTAATGTCAATATAAATTTCATTTGATAGATTGTGGAAACAGATGAAGAGGAGCATAGTGAATATGAAAACAATGATGATGAAATCATGGTTAGATTTATCTTCTTTAAATTTACATATTAGTGGTATATACCACAATTTATTTCTTGTGTAATTTTTTAGTAGGGTATATACCCCTCAAATCATTTATAACATGTTATATACCCATCCCTAGGTATGGCGCAAGCAATTTTTGCCATCTCAAATTTAGCCAACGAAATCAAATATCCACTATGCTTTTGTTGTGTAACAAATAAATTTTCAGAATTTTAACTCACAAAGAACCAAATTTTTATTTATTTTTGAATATATGGCAAGCTTACCAACTAGCACTCGTCAACTTCGTGCTTGTCTTGTGTGTTCTCTTGTTAAGGTGACAATGGATTTATTTAATTTGTGTTCTTGCATTCAAAAGTGTTTGTTGGCTTGTTAATTAATTGATTGATTAATAAATTAACTAGCAAGTTGACCAATTTCGTACTGAAGGTTGTGATAATTGCGAAGGTTTCTTACATTTTAAAGATTCGAATAAAAGAACACTAGAGTGTACGAGTTCAAAAATCGATGATTATATTAATAAAAGAAAAAATATTTTAGATTTGAGAATGTAACAATTAATTTTTGTTATCAATTTAATTTTTTATTAGAGTATTAAATTTAAAAATTTTATGGTTGCAGAGTGTGGTGGCCAAATATAATGATGATTTTGATTTTTTTAAAGAACAATTTTTTGGAAGCTAGAGACCTTTTTTATCAACCAACAGAGTTAAATTTTGAGTTCCTTTATAATTTGTTTAACAACTTTTTTATTTTTAAAAATTTTCCATTATATTATTTCTCAGAAGAGTATCTTTCAAGGCAAATATTATTCCATCAGCATACCATTTGGCACCATAATTTAATTCTTTTAAGAAAGATGTCATTGATGACAGAATGTTTGAGAGTCTTTGAGTGAATGCAAAATTAAAGTCTCTCAAGTGTGAGGGGATTGCCTGACACCTAAACTTTAAAAGGTTAGAGTTGATATTAAAGAAATTAACAAAGTTTGTTGGACATAAAACAGCTTTACTATTTTCCTCACATTGATCTTGCTTAATATCTTATTCATCTATTAATGCATAAATGTTTTATTAGTGTTATAGTGTCATAGAAATATTAAAAATCTTTAGAAGTGTAAAATTCACATATTTTTTAGAAGCAATAACATTTAATGATGTATTTATATAATGTTAATAAATCATGAGTTAATAAATTTGATTAAAAATTATTTATTTTATTAATTATTTTTATAAATTTCATTATTAGAAACATTCTCATCCATAATTCCAAAGTAACTATCTTGGCAATATATAAATTATAGTTGAGGTAGTCTTACTTGTTTTGTTGTTGTTCATAAT